AAGTGTTAGGATTACAAGCGTCAGCCATCACGTCCAATCTCCATTTTTTTTTTGAAATGGAGTCTCGCTCTGTCATCCAGGCCGGAGTGCAGTGGCACAATCTCGGCTCACTGCAACTTCTGTCTCCCAGGTTCAAGTGATTCTCCTGCCTCAGCCTCCCGAGTAGCTGGGACTACAAGTGCCCACCACCATGCCCAGCTAATTTTTATATTTTTAGTAGAGATGAGGTTTCACCATGTTGGTCAGGCTGGTCTCCAACTCTTGGCCTCAAGTGATCTCCACTGTGCCCAGCCTCCATAAAAGAACAAGTTTCTGAGAAATTAAATTACTTATCTAAGTTCATGAAGCCCTCTACGGGACAGATTCAGGCTAATCCCTGTCAAGTGAGCACTCCAGATGTTTCCTTTATTGCCATTTATCAACTTGATAAACAGGGATTGTTGAATTGCTACAACAATGAAGAGACAGAGAGGTCAAAGTAACTCCCAGGTTTCTGAAATGGTGAGTGGATTATGGTTCATTCACCAAAATTGAGAATATAGGTTGCTAATTCTAAGTAGAGACTCACTTTATCTTGGCACAAGTTAATGTGTGAAATAAAAGGTTTCCTGGGAATGTGAGGAATGAGAAATTGTTGTTTAATGGGCATAGAGTCTCAGTTTTGCAAGATGAAAAGTTCTAAGCCAGGGGTGTTGGCTCACACCTGTAATCCCAGCACTTTGGGAGGTCAAGCCAGAGGGATCATTTGAGGTCAGGGGTTCGAGACCAGCCTGGCCAACATGGTGAAACCCATCTCTACTAAAAATACAAAAAAAATTATCCAGGCATGGCGGCGGGTGCCTAAATCCCAGCTACTTGGGAGTCTGAGGCAGGAGAATCGCTTGAACCCTGGTGGTGGAGGTTGCAGTGAGCAGACATTGCACCACTGTACTCCAGCCTGGGCAACAAGAGCAAAACTACATAAAAAAAAGAAAGAAAGAAAGAAAGAAAGAAAGAAGGAAAGAAAGAAAGAAAGAAAGAAAGAAAGAAAGAAAGAAAGAAAGGAAAGAATTCTGAAGATTGGTTGCATAACAATATGAATGATGTGAATATACTTCTAAACTGCATACTTTACACTTGATCTTAGCCAAAAGGCTGAGAAGTGATGAACTGCATACTTTAAAATGGTTAAGATGGTAAATTTTATGTTATATAGGTTTTACCACAATAAACAATGAATAAAAGGTTTTCCTTTCCTAGCTTACCTCTGTCCACTCATTGTTCAAATTGGAGCTTTCTCTCTTAGCTTCTGTGATGAGTGAAGAGGTGCTCCCCAAAGATATTTGAAAATACTAATAAAAGGAATATTATTTCATTTATTCACTTTCAGAGGGAGTTCAAGAAATTGTCAAGTTGTCATAGTTGTCAAGTGAATGAATTAACTAATTCAACAAATATTTATCAGTTTCCCTATCTTAAACCTGGGATGTTCTAAGCCCTTTATTCTCAAGGTGTGGTCTCCAGATCAGCAGCACTAGCATCACCAGGGAATTTGTTAGAAATATACATTCCTGTGGGGCATGGTGGTTCATGCCTGTAATCCCAACACTTTGTGAGGCCGAGAAGTTCAGATTGCTTGAGTCCAGGAGTTTGGGACCAGCTTGGGCAACATGATGAGACCCCGTCCCTACAAAATAAAAAATTAGCTGGGCATGGGGGTGCACAGCTGTAGTCCCATCCACTTGGGAGGCTGAGGTGGAAGGGTTGCTTGAACCTGGGAGGTTGAGGCTGCAGTGAGCTGTGATCATGCCACTGCACTCTGGGTGACAGAAAAAAAAAAAAAAAAAAAAAGGAAAAAAAAAAAAAAAAAAAAAAAAAAAAAAAAGGAAAGAAAAAACATACGCATTCCTGGACCCCACTTCAGACTTACTGAATCAGAAACTTTGGTGGTAGGACCCAAAAATTGCTATTTTTACCAGCCTTTCAAATTACTCTGATGCATGCTCAAATTTAAGACAGACAATTCTAGATAGCACTGATACAGAGGCAAAGAAAACAAAGTGCCTATCCTCTTGGAGCAACAACAGACAAATAGATACAAGTAAAATTTCAGGCAAAGGCAGGGGTTATCAGGGAAACGAGCACAGGAGAAGAAGGGATAACAGAGGATGCTCAGGCAGGGTCTCTCTGAGGGTTATGAGCTCTGAAGTCACATTGAGCAGGATCTGAAAATTGGTTCTACCAGTTCCTAGCTTTTTAAAAGTTTGGTTTCCTGATCTTCTAAAAAAGAGATAATAATATTCCTTACAAGTTTACTCTGAAGATTAAATAAGATAATGCTCATAAAATCCTTGCAATTGTTTCTGCCACAGAGTAAGGCTTCAATAAACGTTAGCCCTCCACATATGATGGGAAGTGCCATAGATGTATATTTGGTAATCATCAATGTAGAAATTAACAGTAAAGTGGATGAAAAAGTGGATAAACCAATACACAAAAAGAGAAGCAGATGGATGATGGGCTCTTGGTGAGGACACAAGGGGGTTGAGAGATGGTGAGGAGGTAAAGAAATGAAGATGTGGAGAGGGAGCTTTTTCTGAATCCAGCTAAAGCTGGAAACTTAGAAGAGGAGGGCAGTGGATTGGTTGACAAACCAGCCATATGGTATGCCTGTGACTGAGGAGGTTCTCAGGATGCAGGACTTTCAGTGCTAAAACTAGGAAAGTCAGCCGAGTGCAGTGGCTCATGCCTGTAATCCCAGCACTTTGGGAGGCTGAGGCGTGCAGATCACGAGGTCAGGAGTTTGAGACCAGCCTAATGTGTTGAAACCCCGTCTCTACTAAAAACATAAAACTTAGCCAGGCATGGTGACGCATGCCTGTAATCTCAGTTACTTAGGGAGGCTGAAGCAGGAGAATCGCCTGAACCTGGAAGGCCGAGGTTGCATTGAGCCAAGATTGTGCCATTGCACGATCTGGGCAACAGAGCAAGACTCCGTCTCAGGTAAAAAAAAAAAAAAAAACCTAGGAAAGTCCTGGGCAAGCTGGGCCATACTGGCCACACTAGCAGTGAATGTGACCATGGAGGGTGAAATGAGCAATAAATCAATAAATACTCTGACTTTTCTTTCCTGGTAGCCCCTGCTCTCCTTACATTACCTTTACATGGGCCTGACCCAACCAGAAGCCAGAGGGCAAGGGAGGTGGAATAATACAGTAGAGAAGTCAGCCTTGCCGCAACACACACCAGGGCAAAGAAAGGACAGAGAATTGATGTGGAAGGGCAAAAAATAATGGCCAGCACAGTGGCAAAACTGGGATTAGAATTGTCTCGGATAAACTTAAGCTTCAATTCTTTTTTTCTGAGACACAGTCTTGCTCTGTCACCCAGGCTGGAGTGCAGTGGCACGATCTCGGCTCACTACAACCTCCATCTCTCAGGTTCAAGCAATTCTCTGCCTCGGCCTCTTGAGTAGCTGGGATTACAGGTGGCCGCCAGCACACCCAGTTAATTTTTTGTATTTTTAGTAGAGATGGGGTTTCACCATCTTGGCCAAGCTGATCTTGAACTCCTGACTTCATGATCCACCCGCCTCGGCTTCCCTAAGTGCTGGGATTACAGACATGAGCCACCGCGCCCAGCCCAGAGTTTCAATTCTTTTCCCAGCCTTGTTTAAAGGTAGAAAGCCCTTTAGGAGTTATGAGGGCTTTCTACATCCTCGAATTAACCCTACATAAAATTATAAAGATTATCCAACTATACTCTTTGGTAACCGAGCAGCCCGCAAAACCTTTTTCTTTAGAGACAGGGTCTTGCTCTGTCGCCCAGGCTGGATTGCAGTTGCGTAATCATAACACACTCTAACCTCAAACTCCTGGGCTCAAGCCATCCTCCCCCCTCGACCTCCCAAACCCTTGAGATTACAGGCATGAGCCAAGGCGCCCAGCCCTCTTTAAAAAATAAAAGTGGGCTGGCAGTGGTGGCTAAGGCCTGTAATCCTAGCACTTTGGGAGGTTGAGGTGGGCGGATCATTTGAGGTCAGGAGTTCAAGACCAGCCTGGCCAACATGGTAAAACCCCATCTCTACTAAAAATACAAAAATTAGCCGGGCAAGGCGGCGGGTGCCTGTAATCCCAGATACCCGGGAGGTTTAGGCACAAGAATCGCTTGAACCTGAGAGGCAGAGATTGCAGTGAGCGGAGATCGCGCCATTGCATTACAGCCTGGGCAACAGAGGGCGACTCCATCTCAAAAAAACCTAACAGCGACTCCATCTCAAAAAAACCTAACAACAGTGTGTTTGTGTGTATATATATATACTCAATGATAAGTGTCATGTGCAAATGCCAGACCGGATTTCGCTGTTCCAGAAATGAAGTCAGTAGAGAAAATCCCCACGGCGACCCTGGAATCCCTCTGAAAAGGTTCAGATACAGGACACTCCCAGGTTCCCAGGTATCATTTGCCAGCTCACTTCTTCCTGGAAGACTCACTCCTCCAATCGCACTTGATGTTTAAGCAAGTGTCAATGGTCAGAGACCACTGCTCGCCTAGTACCTATGGCACCGCATCCCGCGCACCTCCAGGTGGCCCAGGCTCCGCGGCCAATAGTCACTACCACCCGCCAACCCAGCCCGAGTTATACGAGATTGGGCGGCCGGAGACGCTGCATGATTGGTGGGTCGGATGGGGGCGGAGCCTCGCTCGAAAGCCCCCTCTGGATTGGTGCAAACTATCGGGGTGGGGCCTCCACTCTGGCTGGGCGGGAAAGCTCGAACAGTGATGCCGGGCTGGAGACTGTGGTAGCTGCTGCGCTCCGGCTGAGGGAACTAGAGACTGCTCCATCCCTGGCGGAACGCTGTGCAGGCAGGAGTCATGACGGGCGAGGTGGGTTCCGAGGTGAGTTTATGCACACACTTCTCACCGGGGCTGCAAAGGCCCGGCGCCGAGGGGTTAGGTAGGGCTGGGGTAGACCCGGCAGAGCCGGGGCTCCCGGGAGGTACTGCTGCGGCTCCCGGCGTTCTCCGCGCCCGCGCCTGCTCCCGCGGCCTCGCGACTCGGCCGGGATGGTCTCTGAATGGGGGTCCCCTCCCGCCGTCGGGCTTCCGGTGCTTCTGGCTCCTTGGCCGTGGAGCTCCAGGTCTCTGCGGCGCGCGGTGCCTGCAGCTCAGCCCTTCTCTGCCGCCCGCCCAGCCCTGTGGCGCGTTTCCTGTCGCGGAAGCTCCTCCCCTCAGGGTGCCCCGAAAACCAGGAGGCTCTGGCCGAACCGGGCCGCCAGGGTGCGGGGCGGGATTCTCTGCAAATAGAGGGTGAGAGTGTTATGTTAGGGAGCTCCACACTGGGCTTGGGAGCGGGCCTGGAGGTCATCGGGCGCTGGCCCTTCGCGTTTTCCGACGGAGCCCGGAGTGGGGAAGTCACAGTCGGGGTCCTGGCTGGTGGCTGGCAGCTCTCTGGTGAAATTGGGCATAAAAACACACGTTTCCAGACCTGTGTCCTTTCTGGGGCCGGATTCGGGCAAGGCACTCTCGCCTTAGGAGTAAAATTTAAAGGGGTGCCAAAACCCTCAGTAATCAAATGAAACTCATATTTTAATGCAATATTTTTAAAAAACCAAAATTAATGCAAAAAATTTTATGATTTGATATTGAACAAAATATCAGACGTTTAAACAAAGACAAGATCCGACCAGGCTCTTTCGGGACCCTGCCTCACTCACCTCACCCTAATCCCCCCTCTGGTTCCAATAAACTTATTTACAGAAGCGGGCGGCTGACCTCACGAGCCGTAGATTGTTGATTTTTATTTATTTATTTATGGAGACAGCGTCTCACTGTGTGGCCCAGGCTGGAGTACAGTGGCTCGATCTTGGCTCACTGCAACCTCCTCCTCCCAGGTTCAAGTAATTCTCTTGCCTCAGCCTCCCAAGTAGCTAAGATTACAGACGTGTGTCACCATGCCCAGGTAATTTTTTTTTTTTTAATTTTTTGTAGAGATGGGGTTTCACCGTGTTGGTCAGGCTGGTCTTGAACTCCTGACCTCTGGTGATCTGCCCACCTCCGCCTCTCAAAGTCCTGGGATTACAGACGTGAGCCACCACGTCTGGCCTCTGTTGATTTGATTTTTTTTTTTTCTTTTTTTTTTTTATTATTGGCAGGGGTCTCATGGAGATTTAATTTTTTGAAAAATAATTGCATTAATGTGTTATTTATTTTGATTACTGAATTTTTTGAGACCTGACCCCACCCTGTTCCTGGCCCTGCCCTTTGACATTGCTGCAAATTGCCTAGAAGAGAATCGTGATTAAAAGCAGCCCTATTCCTTAAGCTGTCTAGTTACCTAAAATTAGTTCCCACATTCACAAACAGAAGTAATAGTTTTACTGCTTTGGATTGTTGAGAGGATCGTCAGTGCACACATATTAATTCTCAGCAATCCCAGCGCTTTGGGAGGCCAAGGCGATCGGATTGCTTGAGCTCAAGAGTTCAAAACCAGCCTGCGTAAAATACGTGCAAAACTCTGTTTCTACAAAACAAACATACAAAAATTAGCCGGGTGTCGCACATGGTCCCAGGTTCTCTGGAGGCTGAGGTGAGAGGATCCTTTGGGCCTGGGAGATCAAGGCTGCAGTCAGCTATGATCCTGCCGCTGCACTCCAGCCTGGGCGAAAGAGTAAGATGCCATATCAAAAAAAAAAAAAAAAAAAATTGAATACCAAGTATTCAAATCAATTTAATAATTTTTTGAGAAGCCACTAGGGTGAGGCCTTGTGCCCTGTTACATTACTGAAGCTCATATTTCTCCCTTTATTAATAAGATTCAGAGCCCTAAGAACATCGAGGAGCTAGACTTGGCATTTAGGGTAACTTGGTCACTAACTGATCATCACCTAACATAATCCTGCTCCTTAGATTTTTATTTGTGACTTTTTATACTGTCTTATTTTCAAATCTATACAAACATGGAAAAGCTGGTATAATGAACCCATCACCTTACTTCGACTCCAGTTTTGAATATCTCTCATCTGAAATGCTTGGGACCAGAAGGGTTTTGAATTTCAGATTTATTTTGGATTTTGGAATATATGCATACACATAATGATGTGTCTTAGGGGAGGGACCTAAGTCTAAAAGATGAAATTCAGTTATATTTCATATACACCTTATACACATAGTCTGAAGGTAATTTTATACAGTATTTTAAAATAACTTTGTTCATGAAACAAAGATTTTACTGCAACCCATCATAGGAGATCAGGTGTGGAATTTTCAACTTAGTAGCATCATGTCAGTGCTCAAATGTTTTGGATTTGGGAGGATTTCAGATTTTCAGATTAGAGATGTTCAACCTGTATTATCAAATCATGACCAGTCTTGTTTCATTTATACCATTTTTCCTCTCACTGGATTATGTGGAAGAAAATCCCAGATACCATATTTTTTTAACCACAAATATTTTAGTGTGCATATCTAAAAGACAAGGGCTTTCCATAAAAGATAACTACAATATTATTACCACATCTAAGAAGTATCTAGTCAGTGTTTAGATTTCTTTGACTCATAGATACTTCATTTATTTTTTTTTTTTATAATTTTTTTTTTTTTTGAGACAGAGTTTCGCTCTTGCTACCCAGGCTGGAGTGCAATGGTACGATCTCGGCTCACGGCAACCTCCTCCTCCTGGGTTCAGGCAATTCTCCTTCCTCAGCCTCCTGAGTAGCTGGGATTACAGGCACGCGCCACCATGCCCAGCTAATTTTTTCTATTTTTAGTAGAGACAGGGTTTCACCATGTTGACCAGGATGGCCCCGATCTCTTGACCTCGTGATCCACCCGCCTCGGCCTCCCAAAGTGCTGGGATTACAGGCATGAGCCACCACGCCCGGCGTACTTCATTTATTTTTATAAAACACTTTAGCATAGTTTTTTTATATTTAGTTTTTTGAATCATCCAAAGTTGGCATATTGCAATTGTTTATATTAATATATATGTGTGTATATACATATATGTATATATTTTAAGATATACATAAATATATGAAGCATACATATATGTATGTAGAAATAAACATTACATACATGCATATAGAAATATATATGTGTATAACTATATAGAAATATACATACATACACACATATATCCATTCGCTTGTGTATCTCATGTGTATCAACTTTCTTTATGGGTCCCTCTTCCTCTCTTTTTTTTCTTTGCAATATATTGTTAAACTGGCTGGGCGAGGTAGCTCATGTCTGTAGTCCCAGCACTTTGGGAGGCCAAGGCAGGCGGATCACCTGAGGTCAGGAGTTCAAGACTGGTCTGGCCAACATGGTGAAACCTCATTTCTACTAAAATACAAAAAATGGGTGTGTTGGTGCATGCCTGTAATCCCAGCTGAGATTGTGCCACTGTACTCCAGCCTGGGTGACAGAGTGAGACTTCATCTCAAAAAAAGAAAGAAAGAAATTAAAAAGAAAGAAATCACCCACTTTGACTTGTGGAGTTTCCCACATCTAGATTGCATCTTTGTGGTGTTATTCAGCATGTTCCCCTATTCCCTCTAGTTCTTGTAAATGGGTAGTTAGATCTAGAGACTTGATAGGATTCAGAGTTGATTGTTTTGTCAGGAATACTTTATAGCTAGCATTGGGTACTTCTATTGGGCAGCACATAATGTCTGGTTGTTTCTCTTTTGATGATGTTAGCAGCCATTAATGATAATTGCCCAAGTCTGTTGTTGAATAATTGAGGGTTGATCAAATTGTGATAATCTAATTCTATTATTTCTTCATTGATTATGATATTTCTCTAATCAATGAGAAACTTTCCCTCATCAGTCATTTGGATATTTTGGGGAACAGTTCACACAGAGAAGTCATAATAAATGCTTGATCTTTTCATTTTTTTTTTTATCATTCCTCAAAGAGTTGACTCTGTTATCATCCTTCAAAGGTGAAAAATGAGTTTGTTGTCCAGTAATTCTAAATGTCATCCCTTCAAGGAACCATTGTATTTGATTCTTTCCTTAGTTCAGGTTGATGATCCCATGATGATTTGTATGTCATTATGTACTTGGAGCTTTCGGTGATCTGCTGGTTAACACAAAGTAATTGTCATTTTCTAGGTTCACCTAGAAATCAACAATCCAAAAGTAATTTCACAAGAGGAAGCAGATAGTCCTTCAGATAGTGGACAGGGCAGCTATGAAACAACTGGACCCTTGAGTGAAGGAGGTTTGTAATGGTACTTTTATTTTTAGGAATAGGATGCCAGAGCCTTGGTTGTAAGTAGATTGGATTAATTTCATCATTCTCTTGATTTATT